GAGAGAGAGAGAGAGAGAGAGAGAGAGAGAGAGAGAGAGAGAGAGAAAGAGAGAGCTTTTCTGCAATTTATAGTCTCAGAGAGTTGTCTAAAGCACTGAAAGTCTAGGTCATTCACCCAGAGTCACACAGTCAGTCTGTGTCAGAAGTAGGACTGGCTCAAGGTCGGCCCTTTCATTACTAAACCCTACTGCTTCTCATAAAAAAGCAGACAGACACAGATACAGAGATGGGTAGATGGATTAAAAGGTAGACAAGTGATAGATAAGATGATAGTCACATAGATGTAGATCCTTGTTAAAGGGCATATGTGTGTGTGTGTATTTTAAAAAAAAGTATTTACTAAATGCCTACCATGTGCCAGGAACCATTCTCAGGGCTGAGTGAAAGACCAAAGTGAAACCATGCTTGATCCTTTCAGGCATAGCATAGTGGACAACATGAACGTCTCCAGGTAGACATGAAAGGAAATAAGATAAAAGCACTAGAGGTTTGGTAGGGGCCGGGAAGGTCAATGAAAGGCTTCATGCCAAAGTTAGTCCTTGAGCTGAGCCTTGACACATAGCACAAGGCAGACGTGAGGCTGGGAAGCATTCTAGGCACAGAGGACAGCAAGGCAAAGGGACAGGTGTAAGATTGACAAGAAACAATTATAAGGCCAGTTGGGCTGGCCAAGAAATAATAGAGGAGCATGAAAGTGAAGTGCAACAAAGGTATGGAGGTGTAGAGATTTTATGTTGTGTTATATTTAAGTACTTTTGTTTAAGTTGTGATGCTATGTTTAAGCACTTTTCTACAGCCTTTACATTAAGCATTTTATTTAAATTGTTATATTTAAGTTCTTTTCTACAGCCTTTATATAAACTATGTACTTTAAGTATTTTATTTATGTTATTATATTTAAGTAATTTTCTATAGCCATTACATAGGCTGTATACTTTAAGTACTTTTATTTAAGTTGTTACATTATATTTAAGTACTTTTCTATAGCCTTTTATATAAATGTATGAGTGTCCTCTTCCATCTCTAAAGCAACGATTCTATGATCTTAATTTCCTTTATGGCTTAATTACTTTTTTTGATGAAGGTGGCTCAGTTCTTGTTGTTTAAGATACAGAATGGTCACCATCTGCCCCAACGCATGTGACCCTCCATTGAGGCAGCAATGGGCCGCTTCTGTGAGGGGGTTTCCTTTTTTTTGAATAGCTAACATGCAAATAACTAAGCATCAGTTGTAGCTTCTGTCAAATTAAAATAAAAGCCTTACTTTAAATCAGAAAAACTCTATACCCGGAAACATACAACTCACAGTCAGGACACGGAAAACAAACCAGGACGCCATATATTAACAGAAGACTCGGGAGAGAACAAAATGTAAGGTTTCCTCAACGCAATGGCAGTGTGACAATAATTCAGACCAGCAGTTAAATATATTTAGGATTCTTTTACAGGCAATTCTAGAGTCGTTCATAAATGTTGACTGAATTCCCCAGGTCAACAGTTTTATGAGCCAACTTTTCTGATTTACTGCTCTGCGGTCAAGCCAAGAAGTGAGATGCTTTTTCACAGACATTAAAATGTTGTCGATGCTTGAAACTACAAGATGCTTGGGGCAAGGCCGAACCACTTTATCAAATTAGTCGGACACACCACTAAAAGTGTCATGACAGATAAAGGACACACGTGGAGTGTTCAGTGGTAAATGAATATATGTTGACCAATATGGCCTAAAAGAAGACAATGTGTCCATGCCAACATCCTGCATGGCGAGGCAAAGAGAATGATCGAAATGAGGCACAGGTACTCTATGCCTCAGTTTCCTCCTCTGTAAGACAGAGATAATGATGCCTATAATATCTTCTTCCTCATGGGTTTTCACGAAGCTCAGATAAGATCATGTTGGCTAGCTGCTTCATAAACTTTCAATGCAACAGAGAAATGTCATTTTATTCCTAAAGGCTCAAAACAGAGAGGAGTCCTGCTCATGGCTGTAAACTTTAAAAATGGAACACTAAATTAGTAAATATGAATAAGGAAATGTAAACTTTTCTACCTCCATTTCAAGGATCTTCTTGAATATGGCATGTGCCAAGTATTCTCTGGTGAACTTCTGGCGGTCCTTCCTCATGGTGTTCTGTCTGTACTCTTTCTCCGAGAGGATTCTTCCACTTCTAGTGATCTGCAATGAAAACACAAGATGCACATGCAGAAAACACCAACACACACACACGTGCACATACATGTGCACAAATGCACACACATCAGCTCACACACATGTATGCACGCATGCACATGAACACACATAACTTGCACACTATGGCGGGGGAGACAGGTGGTGTCTAAGTGGAAAGAGAAGGACAACAATGGTTGATAAACTTTCACTGTCACCCAAGAGGGCAGAACAAAGATGAGGGTCCTCCCTCCCCCAGCATTCTCAGGGTGGTGAGGCAGTGTATTTGAAATCCGCCACAGGGCTTCCATTTGTTTAAACGTGTTCTCTTGATGGGGCCCGGGTGTTCTTTGCACCAGCCTTCCTGTGACTGTCCCCATCAGAAAATACGTTTTCAAAAGAGCGTACTGGAAAATAAGCAAAGCAGTCCAATAGCCTGAGCCCCAGAAAGCAACACTGGTACAATGTGTCACAGCCTTGCAAGAGTTCTGAGGTCCACTGAGCAGTTATTAAACACCGTACTATATGCAAAGCAGAAGATCATGGTGCATAGCTGAGAGTTAGGAAGACCTTTAAGTTCAAGATCAATCTCTGACCCATACTAGCTGTGTGACCCTGGACAAGTCACTTACCTCCCAGACAATTCTCTAAGACTATATGTAAGTGGCAGAGCAGGTGTATGTTGTATCTATACATCTGTATGTGTATGCATATGTCCGTGTGTATGCATATGTATACATATGTGTATATGTGTATTATATGTGTGATGTGGCTATGAGTATGTGTGTGCATGTGTGTGCATATGCATGTGCATGTGTATATCTTTGTCATATCACACATATATACATACACATACATACATGCATATGTACATATACACACATACACATAGGAAAAACAAAAACATATAAACACATACATGTATATATGTACACATGTGTGTGTGTGTATACATGGAATTGTATATATATACAATTATGTATACTCTTAGGCCTTAAGCCAAGTCCTGGGAATGAGACCCAAAATGGATAAAATGTTTTAAGTTTTGCAAAGCACTTGGTGTAAGTGATTTCACTGGAGTCCATGAGAGGCCCTGTGAGGAAAGTACCACAGGTATCTTTGTCTCCATCATGCAGGACAGGAAACATGTTTCAGAGATATTAAGTGAGTTTCCAAGGGTCACATGGCTAGGTGGTGTAGGAGGCAGCTTTTGAACCCGATTCCTGTAGCCTCCAAGTCCAGCCTGCTCTCCACCATATCCCGCCACCTCTCCAGAGTTAGGGAAATGATCAAAGGGCGTCACGGGGAGGAAAGACTAGACTTGAACCACTAGGTCCCAGAGGAGAGAAGCTGAAATAATGGGTGAAAGGCTCAAAGAGACCACCTCAGACTGGGGATAGGAAAACTCGTCTATGAATCAGGGCTGCTCACAGGGCAATGGGCTCCCCCTTCTTGCAGGTGTTGAGGCCAAGGCCGGATGACCAGTCATCAGGTGTGTTGCAGAGAGGATGCCTTTCATGTGTGCACTGGACAAGATCAAATGAGATAATAATCTTAAGGCTCTCACTGAGCACAGTGCCTGGCACACAGCAGGCACTACATAAATGCACACTACTAGCTATTTGGAAGATGGCTGCTGGAAATCCTTCCAATCTTTGAATTCTCTGCTCTTGGGCTCTGCACTGGTAGAGGAGGTGTCCTCCCACCCTGAGTAAATGCTGGTCCCAGGAAATATCAAAAGAAGCACCAAGGCTCTCTGGGGTGTGCTGATGAGGCTAAGACAAACTGAAAATCAGTTCTTGCCCTCAGGAAGCTTACTTGCCATTAGAGGTGGGCAAGAGATAAATTATGAGTTGGTTCAGACTGTTTAATTTTAAAATAGCTTTTCGTTATTGTATTGTCCTACTTTGCTATTTTCCCACCTTGGTAAATATAACATAACCAAGACAATTTGTGCAAGAATAAATCCAAGAATCCCATAAGATGAGAGGGCACAGATAGCTTGCCAGCTACACTGATGACAAAGATGAGATCACAAATCTACTGAAGAATGCTGGCCAAGAGGGTCCATCTTCATAGAATCCTAGACTTGATTGACTCCAGAGTTAGTAGAGACCTCAGTTCCCACCAAAGCCACTCCACACCTAGAGAGAACCCTCCACCCCAACATCTCCAACATCCAGATGATGCTCGGAGACTCCCAGAGGGCGACCACCAGCTCATTCCACTTTTGGACAGCTCCAATGGTTAGAACATCTTTCCATATATTGGTTCTAAAGATTCTAGATTCTGAAGTCTACTTTGATTGCATACAGGTGCGGATGGAACAAGCCTAAGAGATGGTCTGATTCCATATAGTTCCTTCATCATCTGCCACAGAATGTCAGTTTAAATTCTTCCTCAGGTCGCGGTTGGGGTGCTTGGCTACGGAGATGTATGGCAGTTCTATGGTTCTGTGACTCTATGGCACAGGCAAGAGTCAGTGACAGCCTGAAGCTTTGAGTCTGAGTGACAGGGTGGCGCTGTCTGTAAAATTAAGGAACTGGGGAAGGTCGTGTTTGAGGGGAGGTAATGAGCCTAGTTTGGGCTGGGTTGGACTTTCAGAACCAGCAGTGCATTTAATATGTCCATGAAACTATGAGAAAGCAGGAGAGGTCAGAGAAAGGTTGGGAATGGGTCAATAGACTTGGGCTTGTCTCCATACAAGTGATGAGTGAAGCCCCAGGGTTGGGTGGGGTGCATTGGAGAATGCAGGGGCTGGATTTAAATCCTAGGTCTGCTACTAATAGCCACTGTGACTTTAGTCACATCACTTAAACTCTCCAGGTTTTCTCATCTCTAAAGTATGGGGGTTAGGGTTGACCTAGATGAACCACAATGTCCCTTCTAGTCTAAATCCACAATCTATTTTTGGAGACAATTCTAAGAAATAGTGGAGGAAGAAAAGAAAATAGGTCTGACAGTCCCAGTTATGGGGTGGTCATACTCATCAGTCAGTCAATAAGCATTTATTAAGCACCTTCTATATGCCAGGTGTTGTGCTAAATTATCCTCATGTATCAGGAAGAAGAAAATAAACCAGCCCAAGAGACTGAGAAGGAAGAGTCACATAGATAGGGAGAGAGCCAAGAGAGAAGAATGGGGTCTTCAAAGCCAAGGGAGGAGAGTCATCAGCAGTGTCAGGTGCTACAGAAAGGTCAAGGGAGAGGAAGACTAATTTCAGGTAGAACAGTGGGGATAGAAGCCAGAATAAGTTTACCACGGATCTGGGTGAGGAGACAAGAGGGGAGACCCAGACCTTAGCCTCACCTACACTTCAGCTCTCACATCCCGCGTGAGTCACCTCCTCCCCAAACAGCCGGGACCCTTTCAACTGCTATTCCCATAGCATGGACTTGGGCCTTTCTGCCGTTTTGCCTGGCCTTCTCAGGATGATCTCCAGCTTATCAATATCCTTTCTGTGCCACCCAGATTTGAACACGGCACTCCATATGAGGCACCAGCAGAGCAGAGGCCAGGGGCTGTCACCTCCCTCTTCCTGGAGTCCAAGTTTATATCAACTATGTCTTAGACACCACATCATAGCATTGACCCAAGTTACCTTACAGTATGGTAAAACTAAAAGATGTTTTCAAAAAAACTCTTGTTGAATCATTTCCAAGCCTATTTGGTGCAGGAGAGGTCTACTTTTTGAACCCAAGCACAAGACTTTACATTTATCTCATTAAAATTTGCCTTATTAGATGAAGCTAAATTTTGACCCTGCAAAAGTCCCTTTGCATACTGGCTTTCTCATCCAGGGTGTTCAGTACCCCTCCTGGTTCTCTGTCACCTTCAGATCTGATCCACATACCCTCTATTGTCTTTTCCAAGTCACTGATAAATGTTAAACAGCTCAGAGCCCAGCACAGATCCTGGTGTGCTCCACTGGGGATCTCCCCCCAAGGTGACACTGAATCATGAACACTGAGTACTCTGAGCCTGGTCATTGAACCAGACCCAAATCCATTGAGCTGCAGGCTACTTGGGAGCCTATCTCTCCCTCTCTCTCTCTCCCTCTCTCTCTCTCTCTCTCTCTCTCTCTCTCT